ATATATATATATATATATATATATATATACACACACACACATGCAAATATTAAAATTTAAGTCTTGACAACTAAATCTATGTAAATCTCTCTTAATATTTTCATACACGTGCATGTAACATTTCTATTGACAGTTATATTAACAACCTAATATTCACCTTTGCATGTCAATGAAATTATGAAGCATCCATTTAGACTATAGTTTTAAATAAATATAAATTATGGGTTCTAAATTAACAAATTTGTTAAGCAATTACATGACAACATGTTACAATTTTAACAAGTTTAATCAAGCTCAAATAAGCTGCACAGTCTCATAAATAATGCCATTCAAAATACTTCTCTTAATTTTTTTTTAAGGAACCCATTTTTAGGGAATATTTTATTTTATTTTTTTATAAAAAATGGATAAAATAAATATTATTTTCATTAAAAAAATTTATTATTTTTTATTATATGTCATCCAATATTCAACTCCTACATTTTAGGATTTGTTTTGTATTATTTGAAGAACTTTTCACACATTGAACCCTTTCTAGTATAAACTCATTAATTTTTTAATCTCACTTAAAAAAGTAGTTAATTAACTTAATAATTCTAATTTTTAATAAATAATTAATCAATTAAACCCATATTAATTCAAATAAAATATTAGTCATTTAATTAATTAACTTACTAATTATAAAATTTAATTAATTAAAAATTTCAATAAAAAAATTAATTAATTATCCTAGTAATTATAAATTTGAACAGTAAATCTACCTAATTAACTTAATAATTAATCAATTAAGCTCATAATAATTGAAGTAAATACTAATCATTTAATTAATTAACATAACAATTATAATTTCATTAATTAATTAACTTTGAAATATTAATAATTTAATTACTTAACTTAATAATTAAAATTTAATTAATCAACTTAATAATTATAAACTAACTAAATTTTTTAATTTCATTTAATTATTTAATTTACGAACTTAGTAATTATAAATTTTAACAATAAGTCTACCAACTTAACTTAATAATTGATCATTTAAACCCATAGTAATTGAAATAAATATTACTCACTTAATTAATTAAGTAATTAATAAGAGTGAAGCCCTTCAGAGATAGCTAATAAATATTACTCACTTAATTAATTAAGTAATTAACTTTTAAAATATTAATAATTTAATTAATTAACTTAATAGTTATAAAATTAATTAATTAACTTAATATTTATAAACTTTAATTAATTAATAATTTAATTAATTAACTTAGTAATAATAAATCTACTTAATTTCTTAAAATGTATAATTTTTTTCTTTAAAAGAAATAGAAAATGCACAATCGAACATATTTTATAATTTTTCTTTTTAAAAACATATAAATCATAACGACACCAAATGTGTTTTTTTAAAACATAAAATTGAAAATAAAATAAATTGAAAAAAAAAAAAAAACAGAAAGTGATCCCAAACAGTACCTACATTTGTAACATTTTGGTGCATAAAATTATGCATGAAAAATTGTCTATTTCGGTTTTAAAAATTCAATAATTATGATATATTTTTTTATGTTATGTTAAAATTTGAAGTATTATAAATATAAATATGAAAATTTGTGTTAGATATGTAAAAATATAAGTATTTTGTGCTAAGTATGTAAATGCATCCCTTCTTTTTTTTTTTAAATGTAATTAATTCAATCCACAAAAATATCTGTAGAGAGAGAGAGAGAGAGAGGGAGAGATTCATAGAAACACAAAAGGATAAGGTCATGAAGAAACAAACATTTTTGAATGTTGGTGGGGACACTGAATTTGTGAAGGAGAAAGATAGAGGTTTCTGATCCCTTGGACTATTTTTTCTTGCAAGTTGCTACTACTGAATCTATGGAATTTTTATGTACATACATCCCACACAATTCCCATGTATTTACATATTTAACACCTTAACTTCTTACATTTATACCACCTGAACACATTATGTTAAGTGAGATACACCTTTTTCATGCATTGTTAAGCTGGTATTTACGTAAAAATTGAAGTTAGGTGTTAGATATGTAAATACGTAAAAATTGGGTTTTGGTCTGATCACAATAGCGCACTCTTCCACAAAGAAGGCTCCATTTAAAATAGACAATCCCATTTGATATCTTCACTTATTTTATCTTTCCCCACCACTGATGGTAGGGCTGTAAAAAAAGTTCGTTGTTCTCGAACAGTTCGTGTTCGGTTCGTCAATGAGTTCGTGTTCGACTCGTTCGATAAGCAAACGAGGAACAATTTTTTTTTCAGTCGGTTAGTTAGACAAATCAAACACGAACAATGATGTGTTCGTTCGTGTTCGA